AAAGAGGCATTGTGCATTTTTCAGGGACTGCAGGAGCACAGGTGAACAGTCAAACAAGTTCAAGGAAATATAAAAATGACTCAAGTGTACTGGAAGTTCTTGAAGGTACTTCTGTAGATTTCAACAGCAGCCAGTGCAGGCCCTAAAACCAGAAGTGGGCTTGTCCCCAGACTCTAGATGCAAATCCCTGGCAGCTTAAAAGATCTGAGTTTTGTAGATATTCCCCTAGGTGTATCAGGGCTCAAGCCTGATTTCAAATGACCATCCCTACCAGAACTTGGGAGTGTTTGAAATAGAGAGATGGATCCAAATTTTGCACCTTGGTGGTTTCTTTTGCTGGCAATCATCATCAACAAATAGCAACAAATAGCATATAGCTATCCAAATGAGACCTCATGCACAGAAATAACTGGGGGCTGTTTTTCTTTGGACATATGGTACTGTACAAGAATCTACAAGGTCACAGCCTCTCTAAGCAGGGCAAGTGGTACCGGCGGGTCTCACTGTGAGAGGCATGTTGGTTTATGCTTTGGGGAAAGCTGGCTAACCTAAAAATAGGGAAAATAGTTTAAAATGATATAGCAGGGAGGGGAGAGAAGCCTGGCTTTTTCTTTCTTTTCTTTTTTTGTTTTGCATTCACCAGCTCCCTGCATTGTTTACATTTTAATTTGGAGTTTTGCCAATCTAAGGTGAGTTCCACAGCACAATTTAGTTAAGCCAGTGACTCTAATCGTAATATAAGACATGAACATATCTTGGACCAAATGAAACATTCCATCACAGAAACAAGGTAAGTTTTCAGTTTGACAGTGGGTTTTGTTTTCTTTTCCTCCCCTTCATTTGGAAATTGCTGGGGATTCAAATCGAAATCTCAGGCAGTAGCCTGGAACACCAGCATGGAATGCTCCAAGCTTTTCTGTCTCAGTAGTGTTAATGATAAAAATGTTAAATCTAGAACCCATGATTTGAGGCTACATTCTAAATTTGGCACTCCCTGCTGGCTCCTCTGCTCCAGATGAACTGAATTGCTTCCCTGAAACAAAATCTGTCTCAGATCAAAACTCAGCAACACATCCATAAGCATTTTGCCTGCCTATAGCAACTTGCCTCTGAGGATCTTGGAGGTTTTACAGCCAATGAATATTTTAACATCACAAATCAATGGGAGATGGATGATGCTGCCTTTTACCAGTTGGATGCTGAGACATGGAGAGGAAGTGACTTACCCAAGGTCATACAGTCAGTAGCAGAGCACAGGCTAGACCCCAGGAGTTCTGGTTCTCTGAATCCATGCGAATAGCTTTATTCCTTGAATAAACTTATTAAGGATGTCATGAACTCAAGTGTGGCTGGGGGGGGGGAGGGCAGACACGAAAACTGTCATGAACTCAAGTGTGGCTGGGGGGGGGGGGGGCAGACACGAAGATCATTTAAAATGCAATGTAGAAATTAAATAAATTGAGCTTTTAACAATTTTTGCTCTATTATGATGAGTACAAGGAAAAGCTCTGTGCTCTTTTAATTTGTTAGGGCTTCTTTATTATTTTCCTGGCTTGTTTTTATTACCTTAGAAATGCTAGCTGGAAAACTCTCTGTTGAGTAGAGAACTGGTAAAACAATAACATTGCCAGAACCCAGAAAGTGAAAATTCAGCACCAGAGAGAGGAAGAATTTTTGTCATCCTCTGTTGTTGTTGTTGTTATTGGTGGTGAAGCTTGTTTCTTTAATTGACATTTATTTAAGATTAATGACACATTGACATTGTAGAAAGAAAACAGCCTGGTTACAATCATGTGTTGACATTTCACCAAATCTCTCTTCCCTTTCTTGTAGAAGAACTGAGGTGGGAAGAGACAAAAGTTCCCACTGCTGATATGTCTCAGGTTAAAAAAGCTGAGGATACCATAAAAGCAACTCTGGGCAACCCTTTATCCATCAAAAAGATGCAAAATAAAAAAGAACACAAGCCCAGCTTAAAACAAACAAGAAACACCCCTTTGCAGGTCATGCAGCTCAGACACTGCAACTGCACACACTCAGCCACAAACAAGTGCATGTGTTTGCAAGGTACAGCGTACGATGCCTCTCAGTGATTTTCTCCTCTGGAATTGGATTGATTAAAACAGCAGGGGGAAGATTTTATTTTTTTTTAAAGGGAACAAACTCGCTCTAGGGCAGCGTTTCTTTTGTGAGGCAGATGGAATGTCGGTGCCTGAAGCCTCCACAGTGGTTGAAGAACCGACAGATGGTGAGAGAACAGTAAAAAAGGTGGAGGGTGGTGATAGTCAGATGCTTTTGGCTTTGCCGGAGGTGGAGGGCTTAACAGGCACTCACCAAATGATTTGAAAATACAGTTTAGTGAGAGAGAAAATAGGGGTGATTGATGTTCCAGGAAACATCAGGTGCTATGAAAAAGTCAGGAGATGAGGTCCTTAGACTTAATGTGATGATAGGAGCTGCATAAAGAGCTTAGATATATTACTAACGAGCTAGTGATCTTCCTGAATGGACCCCACAGGATCTTTGCCTGCTGTGTAGCCAGAGAGATTTATACTCATCACTTCTGGAGTTTGCCAGAGACAAACATTCCTATCCCACAAAATGAAAGAGAGTCAGGTGAGGTTCAAAACAGAAGGAATTATAGAAAGAATGTGATAAAAGACACGGGAAAAGACATCAAGTGTCCCATCCCAGAACATCCAGGCTGCAAGAGGTTTCTGGGAAAATGATCAGACAGAGGCACAAGGGACATCAGACTGATAGAATACAGTGGTGACGCATCGGTGTCAGCACAGCTGGATACATTTGTCCTAAATGTAACCTGTAGGAAGGGACTTGTTTTCCTTTCAGAATTAGCAGGGGGCTTTGGGTAAATGCATGAACAAGGCAATAATTTGTGCCTAAATCCATGTGATGCCCAGGAATAAATGTAAACTTACACAATATGTAGCTACTCATGAGCACATGTAAAGGCAAGTAGGCAGATGTATATACGTGCACATACTTAAGGCAAATGAGCACATGCAGGCATACAAGTATGTGTTGCGTATGCATAGTTGTATGCACATACACAACTGTTTCAAATACATCCCAGTGTGTAATGGAAACAAAACAAAAGTTGTCTCTGCACCTACTGGGCCAAGGGCTCAGCTGGTGCAAATCCACTGACTTATGTCTTCAGAGGGTCTAGCCCGTTGATTTGGGATAAAGCGGAAAACCACAGGCACTGG